CGCCCACCCCCGAGGCAGCCTGCGGAAGGCCTAAAGCCAGATCTTCACAGTAAATCTGCCTACATCCTCTCCCTTAGCTAACTATCTGACTTTTGTTTAACAAGAGAAAGACTCATCCCTGCTGTGCTCTTTTAGTTTATGTCTCCACTCCCTGGTCTTACAGTGCTGATTCTCTAGACAATTGGTAAGGGCAGCTTGAAACTGAACTGAATAGTGCACTGTACTGAACTGGAAGATTATTCACTTAACAGCTTTTTGTGTTGTACAATTAATTAATTGTTCAGCATAAACATTTTGCTTGCACAGAAAGCAACTGTCCTGGGCGCTTGGGGCCAGTTTTGTAGGCTACTGTATGGTTGTGGGATTGAGGGGTTAGTGCTGTTGAGAAGCACGTAATAAAAGCATGCTGTTAAATAAGGATCACCACAAAGCAGTTCTCTTCCCTCCTGTTGTTTTTTTCACACGATTATATGATGTTTGCAGTGATGTGAAACAAGGCTCAGCAGCCCAGTCTTTGCTGCGCATTCTGTTCAGTCTTTCTCTCAGCCCCAGTGAAAAGCTGCTTTGGGCAACAGTAAGAACAATTTGGGGCTCCTCGACACCACAGGCAGTAATAGGTGGTGGGACAGGAGAGCTCTGCTGAGAATGACTGCTCTGTCATGTAGGGGCAGGCAAGCCATGTAATCTTTCTTCTGTCTTTCGTTTTGTAGAAACTGTGTTGTTTGGGAGGGGCTCTTTCATCATCTTTTTTCATGGTCACCTTGAAAATGAAATGCAGGAGTTTTAGATTTCACATTACTTTATTTAACTTCCTCTTCCTAGGCCTATCACTTCCTCCAGGCCTCTTTGGACAGCCTGTACAAGCTGTATCACCGCAGCCTCAGCCTTTTCAGCCCTGCACACATAATGGTTTTAGCCCCATTTCCTGTTTTTACCTTATGGCAGACATGAACACCACACAGTGTACTATACCAGCACTGTCAGACCAGCATAGAGCTTTTCTCTGAACCTTCTCTATCACACTAGGCAGTGATTAAAAGGTTGGAAAACAGACAAGAGACTTGAGGAGTCCAACCTCTGGTAAATAAGCATTGTATCATGGTGGCAGAGCAAGCCACAGCCTCTGGTGGTGTGTGGTGTGCTGTCACTGTGCTTAACAGAAGGGAGATTAAAGCAGGGAACAGTCTCCCACAGCACAGAAAATTAATGTATGTTGGAAAAGCAGAATCTGGTAGTTGGATGCTGGCGCTAATTTGCATTAAAATAAGGTATGCATTTTAACTGTGGAGTCAGTGTGCATGAGACTGTAGTTTACACTTAAAATCCCTGTGTGTTTTGCTGAAAGAGGTGCTGGGACTCAAGAGTAGCTATTTTGGGGTGCCCTGTGCTGTATGAGGGACAGATAGATCAGCAGGGCAGATGGCCTGCAAGGGTTCCTTCCAGCCCGAGTTATGCCATGACTGCTGTGGTCTGACATGCCCATGGCCGTGAGCCAGCAGTGCCCACATGCTGGGCCCTGGATGATACCGTGTCCTCCTTGTGCAGATGTGGAAAGCAGTTGTGGGACATGACGTGTCAGTGAAGGTTGACGCTCAGGGAGACGACTGGGACACTGACCCTGATTTCGTGGTGAGTGTCTGGTGTGGTAATCCATAATTTTGGTGGTGGTGGTGTGAAGGGTTCACTGGCCCTAGGCATATGCTCGTCACCTGGGCCAGGGCTCGGGGTGAAGCATGGCATGCAGCACTGCTGGCTGTGCAGAATCGGCCAGGTCCCACCAACCCCTTGCAGATACTGTCAGGTCATCTGTCTAAGCCATTTCTGACCCATATCTATGTTTAGTCTCCAGAACTTCCTACTACATCAGTGTACCCCACATCTGACTACAAGTAATATCACTTAAGGAGTATAGAGTATTTAGTTTCTTTTAAACCTGCTCCCTGGTAACTTCACTGAGTCCTCCCCACAACTTACATTACAAGAAATAGCGAAGACTTACATTTTTGTCTTTCCCACACTGTTCGTAATTGTACAGGATTCCAGCATTGCCCTCATTTGCCTTTTTTCCAGATGGAAGAATCCTGCTCTATTTACAGTCACTTTGTGCGGGTGCAGCTCCATGCCTCTAAATAGCCTTGTTTTCTATCTAGTCCAATTCTGTAGGTGAGACGGTGAGAGAATAGAAGGGCTCAGCCTGTGGGAACCCATGCATTCATACAGTGTCATGATTTTAATTTTCTATTTGATTCTCTATTCCTTTCCTAACAAGTCACTCACATTTTGGCTTTTTGGCCAGTTCTGTATTTGCTACTCTTCTACGTAATTGCACATATTTCGTACTCCTTCCTGAATGGTAAATATTTTGGAGCCATCGCTGTGCAGATATAATTAGGATTTTTTTTTTCCATATGCTTTAGTTTTGTACCTACTAACACTAAACTTCATTTACAATTTTATCACCCACTGATTTGGCACCACAAGATTTTTCTGCACTGCTTTGTCTCCTGTATTTGGTTAACCTAAACAGTCCTTTACTATCTCAAGACATTGACATCTCATTCTTCATACCCTTTTTCTAAACCTCTTAGGAGCACATAGCACAGCAAAAGTCCTGCTCCTCCTGGCGCCAAGGAGTGTCAGCCATGCTTTACAGCCACAGGTCTCTCTGAGCTCTGTTGAGATTTTTGGTTTCCTTTCCAGCATAGTTTCTTGATGGACAGTCTCTTCTGTTACACAAGGGTCCTATGTTTTCGAGGTTGAGTCTTGCCTAGTTATTTTCAGTAAGAAATTCTCGTTTGGGACAGAGAAGCAGGTCCCCTCCTCAAAGTTCCAAATTATTGATGTTTAAAAAAAATTCTATGCTGTCAAAATTATTTGTTTTTACTTCATTTCTTCTGTTTGTGGAAGCGTTTAAAATAAGCCTGAACAGAATAAGACTTTGTATTAATTTTTTTATTCTATTTTGTGTATATATATATTTTAGCTAAATTCTAGTTTGGGACAGAGAAGCAGGTCCCCTCCTCAAAGTTCCAAATTATTGATGTTTAAAAAAAATTCTATGCTGTCAAAATTATTTGTTTTTACTTCATTTCTTCTGTTTGTGGAAGCGTTTAAAATAAGCCTGAACAGAATAAGACTTTGTATTAATTTTTTTATTCTATTTTGTGTATATATATATTTTAGCTTTACCTTGTATTAGGAAAGGGTTTATTGATGCTTCAATTTATCAAATACATGTTCAGACCTTCCAAAAAGAAGACAAAACAAGTGCTGTCATAACAAAGCTGAGGCAGAAGAGCAGACCTTGAGTGAAACGTTCACTTCAGTGTTCTTCCAGTATTTTCCTCAACAATTAATTTCCACAGCATTTTTGTTTGCTAGCTCCTCCCTGCGGAAGAGGGATGGAGCTGCC